GGATAAGGGGGCCTGGGAGGGGGGGGAAGGCTGTGAAGCGCTTGGGGCCGCGGGGCGCAAGGTGGGCCGAGCAGCGCGTTGTGACATGGGAGGGGCCGCTTGGAGGGAGGATGGTCGGGCCGCGGGCAGCCGCGTGCTGCGGCGGGGTGGCTGCGTGGCGACAGCTGTTGCATCGGCCAGGTAAACCAAAGTGTCCAGCAGACACCGAGGTGACATCAGGTGCAAGAATGCAGGTGAAGGCGGGCCCCTTGTCTAGAACACCAGGGCGGGCAGTCCCCGCCTGGAGGGCCCTGGGGCTCCTGCTCTCACGTGATGTGTTGGGGTCGTAGCCGGGGGCTGTGCGAAGGACGCGGAGAAACTTCATGATCCTGCGGTGGGGTCCGGGTTCTGAGGGTTTTTGGGGGGCGCAAGGGACGAGCTAGGAGGGGAGGGGATGACCGCAAGAAAGGGGGGTGGGCGCGGGCTGCAGCAGAAGGCGAGGCACAGAATGCAATGCACGCGGGGTTGGCCAGCGGGAGAAAAAGAGGGCCAGCGGCGGCGGGTCGTTCAAACCACAGTTCGTCGGCGGAGCATGCAGCCGTGCCGGCAGCGAGGGGGCTGGGGGGCGGCGCTGCGGCTCTGGCTGCTGCTTGAAGCTCACTTGTGCTCGCCCTCCCCGGGCTCTGACGCGTCAGACACGATGAACTGGGCGGGAGCAGCCACGGGAGTGGGACGGCAGGTATGAGCGCATGATCGTGAAGCCATGCGACACGCCGCGCACCGTGCGGCGCCGCTGCACTGCAGAGGCGTGCAAACGCACGCGCCTCCGCCCGTGCTGACGCCCGCTGATGTCATCTGGGCCTCTCAGCCAGCATCGCGTCCGCTGTGCCCGCACGATGCCGCGCAGCTGCGCCGCCTCACCTTCACGCCCGCATATCGCGGGCTGGCCTCGATCTTGCGTCGCGCCCAGTTGCGCAGCCACGTGGCCACAGACTCCATGAAGAGAGTGCCCTGCGGCGCATTTGCATGCGGAAGCAAATGCTTATGTGTGTGTGTGTGTGAGTGTGTGTGCCTCTGTATTTGTGTGTGCGCGTGTGAATAGGCGCTCCAGCCGCCCCCTTGCGAACCCTGCCCGCCCCTCCCCAAAAGGCGCCGCGCGGGGGCGGGCAAGGGCGCGAAACTGCGAGCTGACGCCGGCCGGGACAGGCGGCTGCGACGGCAGCAGCAGCAGCAGCAGCAGCAGCAGCAGCAGCAGCGGCGGCGGCGGCGGCGGCGGCGGCAGCGGCGTCATCGCCCGGGCCCCCACCGGCGTGATGATGTTGGAGTCGAACTTTTTGGAGTCTGGCAGGTGCAGGGTCCCCCCCGCCTCTGACTGCATCTCTCGCCGCACCTCCTTGTCTGGGGTCGTGGCGGCAGGGACGCAAATGGATTAGGATTAGGATTGCTACAAGATCCCGCGGTCGCCCGCTCCTGGAGCCATCCAAATGAGGTGGCGAAGGATGCGCGCCGCGGCCATTCGCAGGGGGGACAACGGCCAGCACAGGCGCGCGCCGGCGCAGGGAAGCCGTCCTTTGGGCAGGGTTGGTTCCCGCATTCCAACCCTTTGACCGCTGCCCCCGACTCCCAAACGGCCCAGCAACGCACACGCCCCGAGGGCCCCTCCCGGGCATTCCAGCTTTCCATCCTGCGCAGAGCCGCACATAGTCCCCCCGGGATGCCAAGCGCTGCCGACCTCACGAACATCAACAATTCGTACGTGCGCCTGCGCCTGCGTGTACGAGGGTGTAAACGCGGGGCCCCCGCTCACCGACTTTTTCCGTGATGCCGGAAACGTAGGCCGCGAGGAAGCGCCGCGTGCGCTGCTGGTTCATCTTCGCGCGCGGGGCGACGCCGTCGACCGCCACCAGGACCTGGCTCCCACAGGTTGAGCACGCAAATTGCAGTGGTTTATCATAGGGAGACGGTTGTGATGTTTCGAGGCGGCCTGGAACCATCACCTCCCTATGGAGGTGATGAGCCATCTCCCTATGGCCACCTCCATAGGGAGGTGGCTCATCACCCCTGCACTCAGGTAGGCAGCAAGAAATGTGCAGTGCAGCATTAGCGCACCAGCCTTCCTCTCCCCTGCAGGCCCCCCACACCGGCCCCATGGCCAGCAGCTGCCCACCAGCTTCTTGGGCCCCACCACATCCAGCAGCAGATCCAGGTAGGCGCCCATGCCTACGGAGGGGAGTTTTCAGGTGCCATGTGATTGGGGCAGTAAATAACATTCCATGCGAATAAATCATTGGAAATCGCCCTCACAAGCCCCACAAGCCCGAGCAGCAGTGATGCGGCGCTGCGCACGCCTGCGTGCCGCACAATTGGCCGCAGCTGCAGGCCGTCGCCACGCCCTCGGATGAGATCAGGCGGGGCGGCACTCTCGGATTGTGCACTGCCGGATTGCCTCGCGCCGCAGCCGCGCGGCCGCACCCTCGAAAATCTCTGCGTGTGAGAGGTTGACCCTGTCCTTAGCCACGCTGGCATGGGCGCAGGAATGGATGATGTGGTTCCTGGTTTGGTTTTCAAAAGGGGAGGTTGCAGGGGAGGATGGTACGGGCGGTGAGGACGTGTGGGGATGGGCTAGGAGGGTGCGGGTGGGTTTGGGTGATGTACCGGCAACGAGGGGTGCGGGTGGCGCCCGCAGGCGCAGAGGAGAAGAGTCTGTCGAGAGCGTGCAAGCGCCAGTGGCAAGGTACGAGCTAGCTTGAAAGTTGATCAGGAGCCAAGATCGAGATGCAGGGTTGACGATCAAGTGGTTTTAGAGCGCTCCAACTGCCGTCTGTCCGCCGCCTCGCTGCCTGCCCGCGGCCCCGCCGCTGGCGCAGGCCCAGGCCGGCGTGGCGCCCTGGCTGGCTGGCCGGAGCCTGCGCATGCGCATGCCGCCCCATGTGCGCGCTGCAACCCACATGTCGATGTACAGGTTATCCACATGGCGCCTGTCGCAGGCGCTGAGACCCGTGGGGTCTATGGTGTCGTCCGCCGCTGCCCCAGGGCCGCTGTCGGGCCGCGGCGGGTCGGGCGCGCTGCATATCTTGGGGTAGCGCCGCCTCAGGTACGCGAACAGCCCCGGGACGCCCATGGCGGCGGGCGGGGTGCCGCTGCTGGCGCTGGCGGCGCGGGGCGCTTGGGAGGGACCGCCTGCCGGCAGCGGTCACCAGGCACTTGTGTGCAGCGGCGGATATGCTGCGCTCGCTGCAGTGCTTGCTGTCAAACCGGGCACCACTAGCAACATCACTGTATCGTCTCGGACGCAATGTCTTGTGACGATCCTCTCGCGTTATGAACGCTGGAGTTGCGCCCGTGAAGCCCACGGTAGCGGGTGACGAAGATCTGGGAGACAACCAAGTCCCAGGAATGCAAGTCTTTATTGGAGTAATTTGTGGTATGATCGGCGTGAACATGAACGATCCAGGTCGTGTCCAAGGTGCGCGCTTGGCACCGGGTGCTGCTGATGCAAACGAGCAAGTGCCTGACGTTTGAAGTGCAGGCGCGCGCAAGCGGCCCCTGCTTTGTCGCCAATAGTGCCCTGTGCAAACATCTCACGCGGCTTTCTCACGACACCGATAGAAGGGGCGAGGCAAGCGAATCCGTTGGGACAACTGCCGCCAACCACCCTGTCCCCGATCTGCACTGTCTTGGGTGCTGTGGCTTCTGGACCGCTTCATCCACCCCTATCAAGATGTTGTGTCACCACTCATAAGATTCTATGCATGCTGTGTTTGAATTTTTTACCCCTGCACTGCCAAAGCTGCTGGGGCGTGCTCAACCCCCTGGCATCAATCACATGCCGGGCACGACCCTTTGCAGTTTCTCCACAGTCCAATTGCAGCCAGCGACGCAGCAGCGGTGTGCTGCCCCCCCCCTTCTGCACCGCTGCAATGGACTTCGCCTGTCGCACAACGTGCTTGAGCCACATAATGGATGTTACATGACATCAACGCGTGTAGGGTTGCATGATGCATACATTGATGGTCGTTCAAAAATGTGCATGGCCGAGGGGCTGACTGTGGTAGTCTTCACAAACTTCTTAAAACAGCCCTTTACACCGCAGATCCTGCACACATTGCTCACACCTGCACACATAGCGGCACCAGAGGCTGCTGGCCCCGCTCCAGCCACAATCTCGCATAGAATGCGTGTCTCAGACCTTCATCCCACCTGGGGGGCCCGGGCCGCGAGCTCCCGCCATTTGAGACAAACCCCCGCCCTCATCACTCGGGCTTCCCGAGCAGCAGGTCCGCCAGCTCATCAAAACCGCCCACAACCGCCTCGGGGCGCCTCAGGAAGGAGGGGTACGCCTCCCCCCGCTTCACGTAGGCGCCCCTCAGGCCGGCAGAGAGAGCGCCGTTGATGTCCCAGGGGTGAGAGGCAACCATCATGCACTGCCCGGGGGACAGGCCCAGCTGTGATGCCGCGAAGCGGTAGACGCGCGGGTCCGGCTTGAAGGCCTTTGGGGGGTGTGAGTTTGAAACGGCAGGGGAGTATTTAGCGGTCTGGGGCGCAGCTGGGGGTGGGTTTTGAGGTGAAGTGAGGTCACTGCGCGGACGCGGCGCGTGGGAGGGGATGGGGGACGTCCGGGCGGACCGCGGGGCGGCGGGTCCGGGGTGGCCGGACGCGTGTCGCAGCCCAGCTGGCGCGCGCAGCGGCTCGCAGGCCGCCAGCTGGCCGCGCCGGCGCTCGTGTGTGCATACGCGACCGCAAGAGGCCCCCTTACCCCGGCCCAGCCGCGCTTCGCTCAGCGCCGCCAAGCCGCGCACGCCCCGGCGCCCGCGGCGCGCCCGCAGGTCATGGTGTTCTGACCCAAGTCAAAAACATACACTAAGCAGTTTTGCGGGCGGCGCGCCCCCACCCACCTGAGCCATATTGACGTCAAGCAGGGGCGCCACCACCCCCTCCAGCCCGGCGCGCGCCACCAGGCCGCGAGCGATCGCGTCGACGGCCCCGTTGGTCAGCACGCACACCTGCTGGGCGCACGAGAGGGGGCGAGGCAGCTTTCGTTGCAGCCTGTGTTGCTGATCAAGCAATCAACGTGTTCGTGTCGCCTCTTTTTCCAGCTTCTGGATGATAGCTCCAGCGAAAGGCGCCATCAAACAGGTGGCATCAAAGACGATCCGCGTGGCCGGCGGCCCCGGCCGGCAACCGTGTGGCTGCGGCGCGGCGCCCCGGCTGGTCACCTGACGCCGTCAAACACCGCCGCTGCACCCTCCCCACCAGATTAATCAAACCCTGGGAAAAGGCGTCCCGCCACGCGCCTGAATCCCTGCGGCCTTGATGCGCTTGAGGGCCGGGGCGATCTCGGGGTGCATGTCTGCATCACGCCACGCCGCCACCACCGACTGGAGCGCCGCCGCGGCGTCGACGCTTGGGGGAGATGGGGGGGAGTCGGGGGTGGGGGTGAGGTTTTAGTTTAGGGATCGGGGAGGGCGCGGCGACACGGGTGGTTTGCGGCAGGGGGGGACGCGAGGCGGAAATTGCGTGGGGCTGATGGCGTGAGGGAGGCTGAGCCGGCCGGCGGGGGTCCTCCCACCGGTGCGCCTGTCCAGCTGCCTGCCCGCCGCTTCTGAAGCGATTCGAGCGCAGCACAGGGGACGCGCGCTGCCGCCTATCTGCACCGCCTGTTGCATATCAAAGAGCCCGCGGCGCGCACACTTTTTCGAGCCGGCCGCGCGCAGGAGGTCGCCGAGGTGCGCCGCCCCGACCTCCGCAAACGTCACAAACGCGCCCGCGGCGCCGCCGCCCGCGAGCTGCGCGGCGATCGCGTCGCGGAGCGTCGCGGAGAACCAGCCGTCCAGCAGGAGGGGGTCCAGGCCGAGCGCCGTGAAGGCGCCCGCGGCTGCAGGCGCGGGTGGGCAGCGCGGGTGGCGCGGGCGGCGCGGGTGCTCGGGCGGCGCGGGTGGCGCGGGCGGCGCAGGTCTGCTTTGGGATCAAGAGGTTCAAATACGCCGCCGGGGCAAGCCACTTGCGTGCATGGCCCTCCGCTGGCAGAGCGTCCTGCTGGCGCCGGGCCGCAGGTCGCCGCACATGAACACACACAAGGGCGCCCTGCCGGCGGCGTGCGCCCCCACCGGCTGTTGCCGGAAATAGCGTCCCGTTGACATCCAGGACGAGCGCCTTCGGCCTCTCTCCCGTTCCTGGGAGCGGTGGAGGTGCAGTGGGCGCCATGATGCCGCGGTAAAATTCTCCTGCGAAGTCAGATCTGAACAGCCAGCCACGGACATTGCTCGTCGAAATTTATGACCTTCATTGAACGGTGCATGCACTCAAGTCGGAGATGTCACCTGCAATGAGTCATCCGATCTGACATCAGCAGTTCAGCCGAGCCCTTCTGCCATTGCGCGCTCACCGCGCATCATATATATATAGCCCGATGCGCACCCATCCACGTACCCGCACGCCAGTTCCATGCTGCAGACGTGGCGGGGTTTCGGGCGCGCCAACCGATCATGTCATCCCCCCGGCACATCACCAGCGGGGGCCCTCGTCACCCCCAGCGGCACCCTCCTCGTCGCCGCTTGAGCAGCCGAGGGCGACACTCCTTTCCAGCCTAGACCAGCGGCTAGAGTCCGCCAGCTTTGCGGCGTAGCGGCGCGGGCCCGGTGCTGACGGCAGCCGCGGCGCCAGCGGCGGCGCGTCCGTTTTCAGCAGCATCGACGCAGAGGAGGCGGCGGCGGCGGCGGCAGCTGCACGGGACGCGTTCCAGGCCGGTGCGCTCGGCGTCGGCTTTTCAGCAGGTGCTGTGGCAGGCGCCCGTCTCGCCGCTTCGGAGGACTGCTTCGCCTGCCCAACTTCTGGCGGGCGGTTTGAGTGCTCGATTACAAGCCAACATGCTGCAGCTGCATGCTTGCGTCCCATTGGTGCCTTGCAAGCGACCGACCCCCCCCCCCCGCC